TGAGCATTTCTTCATATGTTTGTTGGCCGCTTGAATATCCTCCTTGGTGAAGAAGTGTCTATTCATGTCTTCTGCCCATTTTTTAATTGGATTGTTTGTCTTTTGAACAACTACATTTCTAATTTCTCTTGAAAACTGGAGGATCATCCAATTAAAAAATGAGCAGAGGACATGAACAGACACTTCACCAAAGAAGACATTTCAGGCAGCTAAGAAATGCATGAAGACATGTTCATGATGAGTGAAAAACGCTCTGCTTGTGATCATTAGCCATGAGAGAGATGAAAAAACAAAAACAGCAATGTGATATCATCTCACTGCAGCACTAACAGCAAAGTTCAAAGAACAGGAAACAACAAATGCTGATCAGCTGTCCACAGAAGGTGTGGACAGACTGGAAGGAACACTGCTGGTGGGACTGGAAAATGGTGCAACCCCTACAGAAACCACTGTATGGTGTTTCTCTAAAAGACTGGAAACAGAAATGCCATATGATCCAGCAATCCCACTACTAGGAATATATCCTAGAGAAATAAGAGGCATGACACAAACAGATATAGGCACATCCATGTCCATCACAGCACTATTCACAATAGCAAAACGATGGAAACAACCTAAACGCCCATCAATGGCAGAATGGATAACCGAACTGTGGTACATACATACAATAGAATATGACAGGTTAAAGGACAATGATGAAACAGCTCATAACATGGATGAACCTAGAGGCCATTATGCTGAGTGAAATTAATCAATCTCAAAAGAATTATATGAGACCATTATTGTATAAAAACAAGAAAAGGGTTTTACAAAAAAGAAAAGTTCTTTGATGATTACCAAGGGTGGGTGGGGGAAGGGAGGTTAAACCACAAACTAGAGGGTAGACAAGTATTAACTTGGGTGAAAGCAAAAGAAAAAAAAAATGTTAATGTGTATGTTAAGAATAAAACACGACCTCTCTGAGAAACAGGATTGCAGTTGCTGTGTTTTGTTGCAGAGCAGTGAAGCAAGCCTAGGCATATCTTTCTCATTTTTCAATTAAAAAATAGAATTTCATATTAAAATGATGACCTTAATGATGAACAAAAACCGAAACATTGTAGAATCTGGCCTGCCCTGGGCAGGGCCTCCTGCAGGGGCCCCCCTGTGGCAGGCCACATGCTCCCCAGTTTGCTGTGGACAGAGATACCCGCCTGCCTCTCAACCTCCCCATCACCTGCCTCAACCTCCCCAGCCTGCCTGCCACCCTCACTGGCCAGGCAGCCACTCCCCTCCACCAGCTCTAGGAAGTCAGAGCCTACTGCCAACCATGAGGCAACCCAGGCACGCTGTGCTCGCACAGTGGCCCAGGTCCTGCCTCAGGGCTCCACACAGAGCCCACCTCCATGAAGCCCATCTGTGAGCCACTCATCCACACCTCCTCCATTCTCAGAAGGTGACTGCCACCAGGATCTCCCAGTAATCACAGGTAGGATGTGCTCCTCATTTTATGGATAAGGAAATTGAGGTCCAGAATAAGCAAGAGGTACGTCCAAGGTCATACATTGACAGAGTAGACTCTGAACCTAAGACCCTCAGCTCTGGGGACATTCCTCCTATACTACACATACCACAGAGAAGGCTCAGGGACTCCCAAAACAGTGCTCAGTGATGGAGACTCACCCAGTATCTTGGGAACCGGAGGCCTCACTGGGTCCATCTACAGGGTCAGAAAATTAAGATGGTCAGCAACAGGAAGCCTGCCAGAACCCCCAGTCAGCCTGAAAGGCAGCAGGAGCCCAGTGCAAACCCAAGTTCAAAGCCAGGGTCAAACACATGGGAAAGTCTGGCTCCCTTGGACATCCCAGGGTCCAGGTCCATCCCAACATCACCTTCATCCCCCAACCCAGAAAAGCCAGCCTGCCTCCTGGCCTTACCTGGGCTCCCAGAGCTGCAGTGACCAAGGATCTGTGCTCCAGCCTACCAGGGACGGACAGACAGACAGACATGGGCCAAGAGCAGGATCTCAAGCTCAGGCTGTGCTGGGTCCCATGGGCCCCTTCCCCATCTCACCCCTGCTCAGCTCCCAGCCCCCAGTACCTGAGCAGGGTCCTCCAAGCCAGCAGTGGTGTTCTGGGCTACTCCACTGCTGAAGACGGGCTGTGGGACCACCTTCTCCACGCCCTTCCTGAGCCAGGTCAGCACCCAGCCGCTGGGACCACTGTGGACAGAGACACCCGCCTGCCTCAACCTCCCCACCACCTCCCCGGTCCAAGTCCACAGCATCCATTAAGACTCCCTCCACTGTGACACCTCAGGCATATCACCTTCCCCCAGACCTTTATGTTCCTCTCTGGTAAATGGGGGCATCACCCCATAAGGTGCTTGGTGCTATTCAAGCCCCCCTGCTCAGGGCATGGCACAGAACAGCTGAGTTCTCTGTAATCCTGCCACCCCGTTCACTGTCCAGGGGCACCCTGCCTGGCGCTCCACACATAGCCTGTGCTCCAGGAGGGCTGAGGGTCTCCTGTGGAGCATTTCCCTCGTGGATGAGCCCATTAGCCTTAACTGAGGGTCACAGATGCGGCCAGTCTCACCCTAAGATGTGCTCGGTTTTGACACACACCCCGGTCCGAAATGTTTGAACCAGCTGCGAGATGTTGCATAAAAACCCGGCTTTCTGGCACATTAGGAAAATCAGAACCTACATTTCACACAAGCCCTGAGAAGCTTCTGGAAGCCTAGGAGATACCCACCCTCTGCCTGGAGCCCCCACTAGCCAACTTCCAGCCTTTGGCTAGGAATAACCACAGAACTGAGGGCAGTGCTCCTCCCCCCACCCACGTGGATCCTACCTGTTTACTTCTGGAACCACAGCGACCTGCGCCTTGAGAGATGTGGGCGGGCTGGGGGCAGCTTCCTGGGTCTCTGGAAAAGAACCCCTTGTACCCTTGGTCTGGGGCCTCAGAGAGAGCCCATTTCTACCCTGCTGGGGAGGTAAGTCAGGGGAGAAGAGGAGAATGCCAAGTTCCAGTTCAATTCAGCCCCAGAAGCCCACCCTCAGCTTCTCTGAGCGCCAACGTTTTTATCTGTGAAATGGACCTGCCAGCCTCATGAGCTGCTGGGAGGCTCTGAGGGGAGAACACAGCCCCCTGCCCCACCAGCCTGGCTTCCAGCACTCACCCTCAAGGTTTGGGTCACCTGAGGCCACTTCCTCCAGCTCAGATGGCTCCTGGGGTGGCTGGAGGTTCAAACAGGACCACATAAGCCCTCAGGAAGACTTCACTCACTCACGAGGGGCCTCTCCCTCCCCAAAGGACCACACAACTCTATTCTCACAGTCCAAAACCAAACCAAACCAAACTAACTGCCGTTGAGTCTGATCCGACTCATAGTGACCCCTCCTTGGGTTTCCGAGGCGGTATCACTACAGGAAGTAGATTGCTCAACCTTCCTTCCGAGGAGTGGCTGGTGGGTTTGAACCGCCAGCCTCTGGTTAGCAGTCAAATGCCTTAGGCACTAGGCCACCAGAGTTAGTCGTCTCTAAATCTTGGTGCCCTCAACTTCAACCTGGAACACTCCTTTCCTCCCAGCCCCGAAGTCCCTCCTCCAGGACTGAGGCCCTCCTCTCCTCCAGGGTAGCCTCTTAGCCTCTCACACCTATCACATTTCCTGGGAACTTTAGCAGTCTTCTGGAAGGAGGGAGGAACAGTTACAGAGAGTTAGGAAGCCTTGGGGCAAGCTGAGAGGAAGAGAGAGCCAGGGTTCTCCCTTGCCTTGTAGACCAAACCCTCCAGTCCCCTCTAGTAGCCAAGAGGAGTTCAGCCTCTCACCCTGCCCCTCCCTGCCTCTGCAGTCACACCTCCTGCCACTAGGTGCACATATGTATGCACATGCATGAATACACACTCACATACATGTGCACATGCAGACAAACACACACAAGCATGGGCATACTCACTCTCACACACATGAACATATATGCACATATATGTACAGTCACAAAAATAAGTGCACAAACACATGCGCACATGTATTGCACACATGTACACACATCTCAACACATATACATGTGCACACATGTGCATAGACACAGGCACAACTAGATATGCTCACACCCATGCATTTATATGCACTGTCACATATACATGTGCATATGCACATACAAACACGTGTACACGTGCACAGATACAAACTATGTGGGTGTACATACATGCAGAGACATGTAAGTATCCATACACAGATGCATTACAGACCCATGAACATGTAAGTACACAGAGATACATGTGAATACATTCAAAGACTGAAACATGCATATGCACACACTTATGCACACTGGCACACTACACACAGAATGAAACCACAGACACATGTATGTGCACATACTTGTAAATATATGTGTGTACACATGCATGAGCTTATACACATATACATGTGCATATGTGTAAGCCTGCACACCTAATCCATATACATATGCACACCTATGCATACAGACATACCACCAAGGATACGAGGCACACACGTGTGCACATGCAAACACATAAAAATGCCCACTTGAGCAGCTCACTGCTTCCTAAACACAGAGTACACTACCCTAACAATGACCTTTCTTGGCCAGGATGTCCCACCCCCTCCATCTCCTCCAGTTAAAATTCTGCCCAGACTTCAGTGTCTAGGAAGCACTTCCTCTCCAGTGTCCAATCTCCAAACATAAGATTGTTCTCTCCCTCCTCAGAGCATTCCTTGTTCTCAGTCTTACATGCCCATTTAACCTTCCCAAGAGCATACTGTTGAGGCCATCACATCCCCTCACCACTCTCTGTCTCCTGGTGCAATGAGCTGGGTGGGCACCTGCCTGCTGACTCCTAGAGGCAACGCCTTATTTACCTTAATACCTCCAGCACTGAGCACAGGGTCTGGTGTCAATTAGGAACTAAACCGAAAATCTGTAACTGAGCTGCTGGATTAGTTGTGATCAGGCTCCCGAATGAATGAGACACAGAACTGGCAAGTTTTGATGCATTTGAAGGAAAGTTCTAAAGCAATGCTGCTCAAAACATGGGCCATGGACCAGTGCCAGTCTTCAAACTGTTACTGATCCACAATCTGTACGCCATTTGAGCCAGAGTATAAATCAATGCACTGCTTCTTTTACCGATAAAGACTTGCTACAAAATAAACATCAAAGGAACCAAGCAGGTTGCTTAGTTACATTCACAGATCTAAATTCAGGCGGAAACTCCTAATCTTATCATAGACTGCTAACAAACAATTGATGAACGGGCTACACTGAGTAGCACTGTTCTAGACTCTAGAGGTCAGCAAACCATGGCCTGCAGTCAAATCCGGCACAATAAAGTTTTATTAGAACACTCCCATGCTCATTCATTTACATATTTTCTATGGCTGCTTTCACTCTCCAATGACAGAGTTGAGTAATTAACAGAGACAGTAGGGTTCATTGTTGTTGTTGTTGTTGTTGTTATGTGCCGTCGAGTCAGACCTGACTCATAGCGACCCCTCCTTGGGTTTCCGAGGCAGTATCACTACGGAAGTAGGATTGCCCAACCTTCCTTCCGAGGAGTGGCTAGTGGGTTTGAACCGCCAGCCGTCTGGTTAGCAGTCAAGTGCCTTAGCCACTATGCTACCAGAGCTCCCAGTAGGGTTCATAGTATGACCTAAATTATTTGTCTGGATTTCTACCAAAAAAAATCTAGTCTTAGCAAGTTCTATCCACTATCTGGGCCTGTTTTCTCATTCATACAAGGGCACTGCACCAGGAGACCTCCATGTTTCATTCCGGCCCCAACTTTCTCTGTTGTGGAAGGTCCACGGGGGCAGGTGGCTCAGGCTAAGATGTCCCTGAGCAGCAAAGCCAGCCTCCACATGTGCTTCTCACCAAGGGCTCATCCTCAAGCCCAGCCTCCTCGGGCGCTGCTTCAGGCTCCGGCTCCCGTTCTGGGTCCGGCTCCGGTTCCGGGTCCAGCTCCGGCTCCGCTTCAGGCTCCGGCTCCGGTTCTGGTTCTGGCTCCGGCTCCAGCTCCGGCTCCGGCTCCGGCTCTGGCTCCACCCCTGCCTCCTCCTCCTCCTCCATCTTGGTCTTCTGAGGGGTCCCCGGAGGCTGAGGCAGTACCTTCTGGACCCAGCCCAACATTCTGCTACCTATAATGGACAGAGTCCTTAGGCGTCCAGAGTGCCCACAGCTGCCCCCACCATTTGTGGGCCACTTTTGTGGGTTCTACATTTCCCCTTTCTCTCATCATCTTTAAATTTTTGTACTTACTATACCTCCAGGTTTACAGAAATAGTCCAGCTCATATGTATAAAGAGGTTGGTTTCAGAAGTGTTATAGCAAAAAATTAAAACATTCCCAAATGCCCATGAGTAGGAGACTGCCAAATGGAAAGGCTCTAAATGTTCATCTGTAAGAGGGGCGTGCATTAAATAGATCTCAGTCCATTCATATAATGGAATATTATGGAGCTGTTAACAAGAATGAAGCAAATCTATTGAACTAAAATGGGAAGATGTACATGCTCTGGAATCGAGTCATGAGCAAATCAGCTAAACACTCTGTGCCTCAGTTTGCTTGTCTATAAAATGGGGGTATTAATACTACCTACCTATTATGGGATGATGGGGAGGATAAAATGAAATGATAAGCACAACATACTCAGAACAGTGACTGGTGCCCACTGAGGGCTTAAGACATGGCAATCATGTGGTATCACACTAAAACACTAATTGTGGAATATCATGTGTGGGGTCATTATGAGTTGGATCTGACTCAATGGCAGTAAGGTTGGGGTTTTTGGGTTTTTTTTTTTTGGTATGTGCAGCCTAACATCATTATAAATAAATATACTATGAGTAGTATATGGATGAATAAGTTGTTTTGTTTAATATACGAAAATAAGCCTATTTCCATGATTTCCAAATTTTTAAGATAAAATGTCAATCACAGCTCCTTTTCATGGTTCACGATTGTATTTCAGTCTTAGCGTTTCTGGTATCATTTATCCTCAGGGAATTGTGAGCCTCTGTCCATTATGGCCTGGCCCAGGGGCCACTGTGCAGGTCATTTTCCCAAACCCTGGAAGGGCCCTTCTGAGGCCATGCCCAGCACAGGTGGCCCCATTCCTTCGCTATCCATGGCAGCCAAAGAGTTGGCCCCTCTTCTACCAGAAA